ACATACGCTCACAACTACACTCACTACTGAGAGCTTTTCAACACTCGAAGATAAAATCCGTATCTCCGCGCGCCAATGTAATATCCTCTATATATCAAAAATAATATAAACTACCAAAACGTCATAGAATCAAGTGTCCACTTTCTCATGCATTACTTTCTATGGTCATTTTTCACGATCCATTTTTCTTTTTTTCATAACAATATATTGTCTATAGCGCATCTCGTTTTTTATATTTGATGGTATATTATATTTTCTTTCAGATAACACGAACATGTCAGTTTTGATACGTCTACTTGTGCTTACAATCATAATTACAATTGCAAAATGTGCTACCACAAAAAACAAGCAGTCAGCTCTACAAAAACATGACAAAACACCAGAAAGCAATAGGAAAAATGAACTTAATCATGCTAAGAAAACAGTTAACATTCAAGGAAAGAAAATAGAAAAGAAGACAGTTAACATTCAAGCAAAGAAAATAGAAAAGAAGAAGAAGAAAGTTGAGTCTAATAAGAAAAGAAAAATACAAGAAAAGAAGAAACCGGTGACTGTTCGAGAATTCCCACTGAATGACATTTTCTTTAAAGGACAAGCGTCAAGTACGTATAGTTTGCAACAYGAGCAGCCGCGTTGTATGGCAATTACAATCTCAAGTCGCAGGCTTATGATGAAATAAGATATCAACATGAATTACGGTGAGATAAATGACGAAAAGTGATGAGCAAGGTAACTTCTGAGTTTAGTCGCTATTGAGCATGCGCAATTTATTACAACAGACAACATTTTGAATGATTATTCATCCCACATGGAAAGCAAGCCATCTGTTGCATAAGTGAGTTCTGTTATCCGTCTTTGATTGCTTCAAAACCTAGTTAAGGTCTATGATGTGATACTAAAACTGAGACCTTCCCTAGTGTTGGATTTCTCAATGGTGACGACCGTGTTGTAAATCTGATACAACACTAGTGTTTACAATCACCTGACCAAATAGACTGACCTTATGGGAGTGATAGTTCATGCAATATTAATGAGTTTTAAATGATGTCGTGCAATTTATACTAGTAGGTGTTATAGAGTATAATGTGTAGATGGGTGCGTGGGGATATGARCTTTATCTTCGAGTGTTCAATCGAATGAATGAGTGAGATATCTTATAAAACTCATTAATAATTCATGAACCAWTACTTCCATAAGGGAAGGGTTGTCTATTTGGTCAGGTGATTGACCTTGTAAATCTAATACAACACTAGTGTTGCGTCAGATTTACAACATGAGACAACCATTGAGACAATGCAACCCAACACTAGAAAAGATATCAGTTTTTGTATCGCATCATAGACCTTCACTAGGTTTTGAAACAAAAGACAAATAGCAGCATTACCTTATCCAACAGATGACTTGCTTTCCATGTGGGATAAATAATCATTCAAAATGTTCTCTGTTGGAGTAAATTGCGCATGCTCAATAGCGACTAAACTCAGCAGCCACTTTTCGACATTTATCTTGCTGTAACTCATGTTAATTAGTGTTGACGTTTCATAGGTCATTGGAATTTCATATTTTTGAACCATAAAATGAAGGGTGTCTAGCAAACCTAATCAGCCCTTCGATTCAAACTTGTATGTGAGCGTGCGTCATGCATTCACAAAACAAGAGTTATTCACAATGAAAACCTTTTTCTTCTTCAGACGAAGCCAACCGGTTCATCCGAGGCAACACCAAGATAGGWAAACCTTTAGAACTCGCTTATGAATACACAAGAGAACAAGACTTGAATGACATCGAAGAACGGATCAGACGTCGTTTTATAGAATATTCTGAGATGGAGAGATGACACGTGACAGGCATCAAGATGGCAGTGGTTTTTCTCGATTTGAAGTCATTCTTCCGTGATTATCCAAGCGAATACAGGATGGGAAAGGTCATCTATTGTCATCTAAATTAGCCTGCCATTTATCACGTGAATCTGTCTATAATATATCCACGATATGGATCCGCCATCTTGAGCATTGCCGATATTATGGAATGAGCAAGATGATCAAACAATTATAAATTGTTCTTTAGTATTATATKAAAAAAATTGCCATCTCTGATTATATTCCGTTTCTTGTTGAATAAATGCAGGCCCATTTTAGACCATACAGTAAGTGTTTCAAGATGGCGGTCGCATTTCATCAAAAGCCATTTATCATTGGTAGACTTCGGGGAACGTTTTATCAATTTCTTGATTTACTTGAACAACACAGGTTAAGTTGATCATTCAGAATCGATTCAGAATAATGTAGAAATCACAACGTAATAATGCTACCGTAATGGTGGTARCTTCGTTGTCAATGGAGGACAATGATTGTAAATTAAAGCGATATTTTATATATATATATGTTTTGAAAACAAAAAAATAACACATAGTAGTTAGTAGTAGGGGGGGTGGGGGAGAGGGGTTGGGGTTCTGGGGTAAAAGTACCGGGGATGCTCGTCGGAAATTCTCGGAAGTCCTGAAAAAAGGGCGTGACTGACTGATTTTTAACCCCTAACATATTGCACAACAAGTATTGTTAAATGACTTCAGTTCCAATGATAAAATATGTAAAATACTTAAAGACTAAACAAAACGCAGAGGAAAATCAATATCGATGCGCTCTTATTCTTCTTTTCCGACACCTTAAGAGATTGCAGCAAATGCAAATTTCCAAAAACTCCAAATTGGCACCCTAAATTTTTACCCTTAAGAGATCCGACAAGCGAAAACAACAACAACAACAACAAGTTTTTATTTGGAGTTTTGCACACAAGGGTACATAAACATTGGTTCCAAAAACGTCCCCAGTACTTTCACCCTGGAGTCCTCCCCCGGGTGCAATCAGTTGATTATAATTGCACCACTTTTATCTCTTCGCTACCATACAGTCAGTATACTACTGTCTAATGTATCTATGCTTTACTCATCAAGCCACTCCGATCCATCACAATCTTTCAACATATGTTGGTCTGACTGCATGTATGATGTCAATCTCCCATATTTTTCGATTGTGTTGAGGTAATCACGATAGAGCTCAGCGTCACAGTCTTCATTAACTTTGGATTCATAGCAGTCGTAAATCTTTTGCACTGAAGACGCCACACATGATTTCTTTTTCTTGAAGTTGTGAATCATGTTTCTTGCAATGTAGTTCGCGCATTCATGGTTGATTTTAACAGCACATGGTTCGATTTTATCTGAATCTTAAAACGAACGAAACATCTTATGGAGAGAATGCAAAACACCATTTCTCCTTTCAGCGGTCCTTTCTCCTGATGACATTAGTACTGTTGAGATGCATCATGGGATTGACGAAACTAAGGCGYGTCAGTTTTGTTGTTTTTGTTTTGTTTTTGGCTCTTTAAAAAAGAATAAATAAACTCCCAGATGGTTTTTTTCATCACACCCTTTTTAAAATACGTACTTTTCAAAACCTGAGTATTTTAGACTTTCAGCGAAAATTTGGGAAAGATACTTTTTACGCATTGTATTTATGCAAAGAGATCCGCCATTTTGGTACCCTGATACACCTCGTCCAAACAAACATGATGTCATTAGAGAAAAAAAAATACGGCAGAAATTTTGTCTATAGAACCATCACATCCAACATGCCTAACTACTCATCCTTACAACGGAAAAAAATAGGTGAAACAACTTAATCCTCGGTCGAATCGAGTAATAACACAAAGAATTAACGTCCGAAACGTCGGTAAGTTATTTCACCTCCTTTTTTTTACGGTAGTTAAATTTATCTTTTTACACAACTGTTTCTTAGAAACACCATGAACGCAGCTCACACTAGTTTTCCGCTAGTTTCCAACATCCTTACATCGAGACAACACTAAAATTGATTTGTTTTGCTTCTTACCAATTTTCTTCAGGTGCTTGCTTGTCATTTCGTCGCCCAAATGTGCTAAGCACGGAAAAGATTTAAAAAGAAATCATTACGCCCTTAGTTAAAAGTTTTTAATCATGAAATTGAGTTGAATTACCATTCAAATAACAGAATGTTTTGATGTGACGTTATTATGCAAGAGGGTAAACTCTCACAGACTAGTTTTGAAATTTACAATTCAAAATACTTAACKACTGGATTTTGAGCTAACCTTCTACAAGTTTTTTCAAATTGTCCATGCTGTGCTTGGGACACACCCCAGTCCTTTTGTCCATAAGCATGCGCTCTGATACCAGCATTCTAGTTATGTCCAGTAACTTACCAAAACACAGTCTGTAAACCGTGGTACTAATGAAGCATCTCCCGATTGTCTATTAAATCGCCAAAACAATGAGTGTTATAAGTAAGAAATAACAGCATTTGTTCTCGATAGTCTAATGAACGTRCTGAAGCCTTATATTCATTATAGCTATCATAGCTACGAGGTCTCTGATTGGTCAGATGTTATTGTTTATTCCACCGGTAAACGCACGGATTTAAAAACAATAAACAACACATTTTCGTGCGTTCCTGCAGGTGAAATAACAGGGAACGCATGAAAATATTATGTTTATTGCTAAACGTTTGCATAGACCTTTTCTGACATACGAAATCATGGTCCATTGGGGTCTACCTTCGACACAATCAATGACATATTTGGCATTATGAACAAAAGATGTTTGTACAGAATCTAGACCACAATGCAATGCAAAGTGCTACCTCAGAAAAGACCTGTGGTGCTGGGTCAACASTCATCATTGTTGTTTACATACAAACACTTTAGCTCTCTGTGGGAACAAAGCTTCATTGAAGTGGACGAGTCTATTGGTTTATGCATGGGCAATGGTTTTTGATGAATTTTGGCGGAGTTATTCTAAGCCCATACTGTTCTCGCGTTTAGTTTGAAGTAGATTAGATCACCACCATGCATTGTCTTATTTGCAAACAAAATCATTAGACGTAGTCATTATTTTACTATATATGCCCGTTTWAATGAAAAATAGTGAAACTTCTTCAGAATAAAGCAAAACAACTGAAATTATCTTAAATGGACTACTAGCTTACTAGGAACTTCATTAAAAAGGACTGTCTGATACCGTATCCTCAACACATTTCATGCGAGTCGATCTTCAAGGCCAGGTACACCGGCGAAGTTTTGTGTATTTAGAACAAATCGCCATTTTGAGAGGCTAGACTGTTACTGATTTGCCGGYATTTCTTGAARAATAGCATGCATACTGTAGTACTACATCGACTWCAAGAAGAAGTGGTGAGTACGTTATTTTATTCTCTTTTTTARAGATGTGCCGACARTCACAGTGTTTATGTGGCTTACCTCGTACGCTCTACAGTACACGTCTCTGAGAACCTCGTTTTCACCAGAATATTTCCAAACATTTTTGAACTTTTCGGAACATTCAGAGATGCATTTCTTCTCGCAGATTTTCGCTTTGTACGACTTTACGTTACAAATACAAAGAGTAGCAAGTRCAAYAAGTCTGGCCGTGTAAAATAGCTCCATAACGAGTGCCTCAAATACGTCAATGAAATGACAAAATGTCCCTTGAGTCACTAATTAATAATCTTAGTAATATATATGTAAATACGTCTCAAGATACAAAGTCAACTCGAGTCATATTATTTATCAAATGGTATGTAAGGAAAAGCCTTAGCGAGTTCTTTGAAACGCTGTAGATTTCCATGGYACATGTATGGTTTTGGTGGGAATCTCTAGCGGTAAACTGCATGGTTTTTCCTTGTAAAAGCAATAGACAGYAGACTATGTGAAGCTATAGAGATTATTAAGTGCAAATGGAATGTGACAACGGAGGGAGACAACGGAGATGAAAGAAATAAAAGATGTATATATGATCCTTGATTTTAGAAAAACATAAGGAAAAGGCAAAAAAATTAAGAAAATTGTAGCGTATGGTCTACTTGTATGTTATTTTGCAAAAAATTACTGCGAAGTACATTGTGATTCTGAGCGGGAACTGCCACTCAATCGGGGGCGCAGGAAGGGAATATTTCAACGTAAGATATCCCGTATTCCCTACATTTTTCAGGGAATATTCAATATTACTAAGATCTTGAAGTTTCAATATTCAAACAATGTTATTCAGTATAAAGGCCTTCCACCCAGACACTCAAAGCAAACGAAAAACCCTGGAGCCGGCAACTATAAAAAAGTTCAGATCACGCAGTTTCCATGTCTAGTTTTGATATTACAATAGATGTTTTAGAGAAATGACTGATCCATGCTCAATCATGGCAATCCGAAATCATTCTTTGAGAAGTGAGAGCTCAAGGAATGGCGGTGTCAATACTATATATAAAATCGCTCAAAAATTAAATATGGTGAAATCAATGTGCTAAGAATATTTCGCCTGAGGCAGGAGTAGCATTTACATACAGGAGMTAATAAACATCATGGAATATAGAATATATAGGGACATATTAAAAACAATATAGGAATGAACTAGTAGATTTAATGAGAGAAAAAAAAAATTTCCAAACATTTTAGATTCTATATAATTAAATTATTACATTTTCTTTGCTTTCGTTAGATGTCAATAATATCTGTCGTTATAGTAATATTCGGTATGCGATAGAATAATTTAATCTTGATTAAGCCAAAATATTGGCATCAGATCAGCTTGTTCCTGTATATTTTTGTTTGAATCACGTACCTTTCAGGGGCATAGATATTTATGTRTATATTGTATTTCATGTATACCGTAAATGATCTAATAATTTACGCCCACTCTCTTATGAACGCCCCCTCTATGTTTACAAGTTTGTATCAAACGCCCCTCTCTAACAAACGCCCCTATCTATTAAACGCCCTCCTCCCTCCCCTCCGACCCACCATCCATCACTAGAAACAAATGAATTAGGAATGCCGGTAACATAAATCAATTAATTGTCTTCTTGCTTCATTAACACTGTTAAGTGAGTAACGTTTTGTTCAATTTCTAGTTCAAAATGAGGATAGCATTCTTTAATTTTTCTGATTTCATTGCTTAGTATATTAGCAATTTTTGCGTTTTGTCCTATCAGTGTAGCGCCCAGGAACTACAAGGCCTTCTTCCCTTTGTTTAGAAGTTATAAATCATAACGTGCAGTACATTACATTGTTACAGTTTTATTTTAGAATAAACGTCTCATCATGCATGGCTCATCATTTAGTAACACTTGAATTAGTTTMAAAAGTTATCCACGCACTCCTAACGATCACAATTATTCAGCGCATGCTGGTTTGTTGCCATGTCTGTTGTCAACTTGCCCATTTGTTTGAATGTGTCCAGAACATCGTGAAAAATATCCGCGTCGCAATTTTCAACTTTGGATTCGTAGCACTCAAAGATCTTCTCCACTGTGGGGGCTACACATGCATTCTCCTTCTTAAAGTTGTGGAGCATGATTCTTGCAATGGAGTCAGCGCATTCGTGGCTGACTTTAACAGCACATGGCTCCATCTTGTCAGAATCTTAAAGACAAATTTGTATYATATCGGTAGTAATGAAGTAACGTTGCTGCTTCCCAGGGGTCCCTATAGCCGTGCGCTCTGAGGGAGTTTACCAAGGGCGGGGAAGACCGGCCTAAAGTTCCTCGTAGAGTCTAGTAACACATGCGAATGGATTAAAATGTCGTAAATTAAAAGCTCGTAGTTACCTTGCGGTACACAAATATATTGATCATTTTTAAATCAACACTAGTAAAGTAAAAATGACATCAGATTTGGTTTTGGAAAACTTCATTTTTCAATTGCAAAGAGCATGCAGTCTAGGAATTAATTTCACATTGCATGTATTTACTAATTATGTTGCTTGTTACAATCAAATTCGATATTCAAAACGTGTACTCGTCTGAGGATTGATCTGATTGCCAGTCTCTCCGACATACAATAAATTACAAAGCGAAGGACATTTAATGCAATAGACAACAAAATCGTCAAAGGTTCCTTACTTACCAACTTTCTTGATATGTTTGCTTGTCACTTTACCATCCAAATGTGCTAAAGAAAAAGGAGGGTAATTGACTAGAGCAGATTTCGTATGAGTGGGACACCGTTACCGCACGGTTACCGGACCTGGCCTGCAGAATTTTGGTGAAACAATGGGGCACTAGAATTTGGTTACAGTACGATTACGGACACAGTACAGTTCCGACCGTTTCCCACTCATACGAAATCCGCTCTATTCAATGCAACTACTCAAATCAATGCTCAATATATCTTTCCCTCTAACAAGCCAATCAATCACATTTCAAACTGGCGTGGGCGAACCTATGATCGGTTAATTGGTCTTGTTTATCAAATTTAGGGGCCGCTTTTTTCCGTATTGTAGCTTTTATGTAATATATAAAATATGAGCATGAGACCTAGCTTTATGGGCATATAATAAAACTGCGTTTACCTTATGAATTTTTAATGTGAATTTGATAAAGTCTTCGTTCTAACGGAAGAGGTTTTTCTTTTACAGGCAGCCTAGTTTTCTTTTTTTAACAAACCTTCTACAAGTTTTTTGAAGTCTTCAATATCGTGGTCAGGACACACCCTGGCTCTCTTGTCCAAAAGCATATGTTCCACAATAAGCATTCTAGTTATGTCCAACATGTTGCCAGCGCAGTCCTTGGAATCTGTAGTTAAGCATCTTCCCATAGTCTAGTATACATTAGTGAAAACAGCCATTATTAATCATAGATACCGACGGCTCGATCTCACATCTCATGCAGGGTCGGAGGTAAGGTAACGTATACAGGCTAGGAAAGCATTTAGAAAGCAATAATAAATAGAATTATCATAATTATCGCAATTATTTTCAAGATAATCCAATGTATCTTTCGCCAAATAAATTATTCGGTCAGGAAAAAAAAAACAAAAAAACGTAAAAACCCCTCCCTTTATTAGAACAACAAACTGAAGCAAAATCTACTGCATGGTAGTTCCAAAAGAGTTGATCATATCCAAACCTGTTGCACCCACCTTGTACGCCCTGCAGTATACGTCTCTGAGTATCTCGTTTTCACCAGAACTTTTCCAAACATTTTTGAATTCTTCGGTGCATTGAGAGACATATTTCTTTTCGCATTCTGTCGCTTCGTACGAGTAAACGTCACCAATACAAATTACTGCAACAAAAACAAGCGAGAATAGAGCCATGACAAGCTTCTTGTTCGACACACTATCAGTGAATATGATCATGCAGCGGTTGTTTAACCCTCTGATGCCAGCCCAGTTTTCTCGATTTAGGGCCGTGTTTACATTCAAGAGATTAAAAAATACATTTAAGCTCCATAAAAGGAGCTGTCAATCAAATTATCATTGATGCATATTCCCTAGGGAACGTGCCTTTATGTAACGCCTGGCTAATTTGAGACGGCTCGTTAGATTATGAGACACTCTTCTGAAAGAAATCAGGAGTGGGGAGCGATTTTTCGAAGACAATGGCGACAATGCAAATTATGTCAGTTTGAATTGTTGTCGTTAGAGAAAGGTCGTGTCCTAAGTCTTTCTGGACCTTTCTGTGGTGGATTTCAGACTCTACCAAGGTAAATTTGGCAAGTTTTAAAACCAAAACAAGGCAATCGGTGCAATATTTTACCGGTAAGTGCGAGTGACTTGGCACTTAAAAAATATCTATAAAAACAGGATTGCTGGACATCCCTGTCGAATTGAATTAACATATCCCATGATGCTGTTCGGTAGTGCATCTGAGAAAACTGTGTTTGCTGTAGTGAGTCCCAAAAAGGAGGCTTTTGCTCAATTTAACAAAGCAAGATTGCAAAATGCGAGAGACTCAGGACGGAGATCCACCACAAAACGCATTTTTTACTTGATAAGACAATTTTGGTAGTGCAAAATAGGAGTTCCCCACAGCTGTCTAGGCCCGGTAAAAAGCACATATTTAGCGCATTGGCATATTGGCACAGCTGTTTTTTTCGATAAGGGTTTATTGGTGACTGCATTTCCTATTCTATGGTTGCTGTTAGTTATTTTTCTCTTTTGACTAGCAGTGTTTGAAGTCAAATCTCACGATTTATGAAATGATGAAAGTTTGGAATTTTTCAAAGCATGGTTCCATAATGCAAAAGTGCTGGCATCAGAGGGTTAAGGAACGAAAAGCACACACGAAGTATCTACAACTTTCGTATGAAATTTAGTTGAGGACAGTGCAATTGTCATGCATATTGTGAAAAAGCAACAGAACCTAATCTATAGTGAACAATAGCAAGACTTGAAGGGATTATTAGTTTAACCAACATATAATGGGCAGTAAGAATGGTCTCTACATCCTTGATCTTCTACTAGATACGTCTATAGATTTTGGAAAACATTGAATAGTCTCGTTCACGGTTACCTGTGCCATCTTGAAATGTAGCCGGGCCTTTGTATTGAAGCAAGACGACCGTTGAGCGTGCAGTGATAGAAACCTTCTTTCACACCTACAGACAATTATTCACAGGTATCTATCGTTATATCCACAACGGTTGTCTCGCTTCTATGTAAAGGCACGGCTACCTTTCAAGATGGCGCAGGTAACCGTGAACGAGACTATTGCACACTTATCTAAAAGAGTATTGCAATTAAGACCGTCATATCTCCATTCAAAAGGAGTTTCGGTTTTTATCCTACTTCACCTGCCCCGTTCATTGTGATCTAGGAATGCTTTATATGCACTCAGTATTCAAAGTTTTCTGAAATATCTGTATCTCAGTTGTGGTAATTTTTTCATCTTTATTTTTCTGTTTTTTGTGTGTGGGTTTTATGTGTCATTCTACAATTAGGTATTGCTAAGACCATGGATTACTGCGAAAATTAATTTTTCTGGTATCTAAGAGATAAAGAGGTTTGAAAAAAATCAAGAATGTAGCAAGAGATACCGAGTGAAACATCTACATAAACAAATCCAAGGAGTTTTCAAGGAACATCACTTGAAGGAACAAATTTTTATCAAAGTAGCAACGTGTTGAAGAATGTTTAAGCAATCCCTTTTATTGTGCTGAAGATCGACCTCTTTTACTTAGATATTCAAAGAAGTATAAAGTGTAGTTGAAAATGAACTTTAAATTCCAGCACTTTTCGAGAACCTGCGCGCCCTGAGAGATCTTGTTGCGATTCCTAATTGCAGCTTATGAAGGACGAAATTCCCTTTTTTTACAGTGTTTTTGTGGCGCGGAGCATATTTTTGGGTTAAAGAGTCACAACCAACCGCTGTACCTTGCGACCCAAAGCACCGTTTTACGGCGGATTACGAAAATGGCGGATTCGTAGAATTTTTTAAATTGAGCGCGAATCGTCTTCCAAACCTTTCAGTTTTGATAGAAATACCTTAAACTAAGCAGCTCACATTTACTATCAACCTATAATCTATTGTATGCTTGAAGTATTTAAGCTTATTTAAACACACGAGCGCGCGTTGTATTGTCATGGTTGGTTGGGATTCTTTAAGCGGCCTAATGACCACCGAAAGCTGTATCAAGCTGGACCGCAATGCCGTAGTAACGAATGCCTCTCGCTGTCATTCTATCGTTCGGACTCTACCCACATTATTAATTGTTGCACATTCATAATGATATCTGAATATGAAATAACAATTTGCAGATAATTCCAATATTGTCTTATGGAAGGTCACTGATAAAGGTTCAAACTAAGTTGATATTCGGCGATTATGAATTTTTAAGGAAAATATAGTCTATTTTAATTCATTGATTTATTTTATTGTAAACTTATCTAAATAAATTATCTAAATTCATATTTGGACATTATTCTAAAGTAAAGACACATAATGTGTATTTCAAGCAAGTATGTGTAGCCTGCCTTTAAATAAGAGACTTCCATGTAAAGGCCTACATGCATCTGAGGAGCTTAGCACGATTGTTTTTACATCTATACAAACTTTTACATTTCTAAACAAAACAAACGACCGCAATGGTTCTCGGATAATCATTCATGTGCATGTTGGGTTTCCTGTGCCAACAATCACGAATGAAATAGCCGACTTGCGAATTACGCATCAATAGTCACATACAAAGGAATCAAGACGAGGCGCCGTGCTTTTTTTGTGAAAATCTATTGTCTTTAGCACGGCGCCTCGTCTTGATTCCTTTGTATGTGACTATATTGATGCGTAATTCGCAGGTCGGCTATTAGGCTGTCAATAAAGTTTTCTAAAGCTAYACTTCTTTTTACAAGAAATTCAATTAGACAACCGCACTTTCTTGTTAAATGAGAGCTGGAGCACGATGAGGATCGCAAAAATCATTAATGAAGCCAACAAAAGAAATGGTCTTTGAAAAAATGTCGGACGGAGCTAAAACACAATCCAATATTGCTCCATCAAATAACGTGTCAAAACTACAAAATATTAAATTTGATGATTCCGTATTCTATTTTTGGCCTGCACTGTTTTTAAAACAGAGCGGCGACCAAGGTATCGCTTGGCTGAATACCTACAGAGCGAATTCACCTRAATTACCTAAATCAACTCACTAGTTGGGCATTACTCCATATGAAAGAGACTGAGAAAAGCACACTCGACTTCGGGGAAAGTTCCGCATTAAGGTAACTGCAAACTTGAGACTAGTTTAAAGGAAAACTCCTTTGATGTAATAAAAAACCCTAATCATACACGATGCCAAATACTCGTATTTTTCTAAGGGTTCTGCAACATCCGACAAGTTGGTCGAGTCACCACAGGGTAACCATTATAATAAGCTACCGCTAACTAGGCTCTCCACAAATGAATAGACTACAAATCTGTATGTACTCTATGCGTTTCCCCCGGTTTTTGGCCAATCGAAATGAAGATCGATTCACCACAGTGTGCCCATCTTACTTATCTACAAGCTAACTAGTCTAGACGTATGCGTGTTTTCCCCGGAATTTTGGTCAATCGACAAGAGGGCCGCTTCGCCACAGGGTACCCATCTTACTCATCTACTCTAGATGTATGTGTGTTTTCACCGGGTTTTTGGCCAATCAAAAAGTTGTTCGATTCGCAACAGGGTACCCGTTTTACTAGTTCCGTTTTACTGGTTCTTGTCATATGACTAAGTGACGACGGCTTGCAGGCACAGTTCATGRTCTCTAGTGTCTCCCCAGCCACCATTGGAGTTCCCTATTGTTACTGACAGTGGTTTTTGTTCGACTTGTAGTGATGACGGGAATAAACTATTCTCATTATCGTTGATAATTCCATCGACTTTGACTGTGGCTTGCTTTGGATTGCAATCCTTTTTATGATGCATCCCACTAAAAAAATGAATGAATAAGCAAATGAATAAATGATAAACAAACTGAAATACACAGTAGATTACATAACATCTGTTCCGCTGATAAACACACAGTACTACACAGGGTTAGCGCTACATTTTCATTATAAAATTCCAAGACTTTTGCGCACATGTTACGCACAAAAATTGTGATTTTTAAGGACTCTTTTTGGCGATATTTTTGATAGTCCCATCAATATCCCTATTTCAATCCAAAAGTTAGAAATAAACATCTCAATGTCATCATATTCAAGGAGTATTCTAGAATTCTAGGAGTTTTAAGAAGCTTTCATCTTATAAAGGTCCTTTGAAGGATTTCAAGGAGTAGCACGAATCCTGTTCCTAAAAACTTGAAGCGCAAGTCGTGTTCGGTTTAGGTTTAGTGAAAGAAGTCAAAACATACATGAATGGTTAAATTATGGGGAGAAACTCGGGGTGACCTACGTAGCACGCAGTTGATGTAATGTATTCATAAAATGYWTTGTATTCCMTTGTTYCTCKTTMTWTTGTATTATGTGTTTTGTATTATATCTTTATGAATATATTACATCAACTGAGTGCTACGTAGATTCTCCCGGAGAAACTCAGGCTCGTACCCAGTCGCTTCTCTCGAGCGGCGCCCAATGCATGAAGGGAAAGGCGAAGGAGTTTATTTTTTYCTTTCCTTCTCATAAACCCCTTCGAGCATATCGAAAAATAAAGCATATCGACTGGGTACGAGTATGGGAGAAACTAACCACGTTCTTAGTTGTCTACTCACCATTCTCCAATGTGAAACACACGAGGTGTTTTCATTACAAGGGCGTTAAATTTCTTTTGTGCACAACTAAGGCTGATCTTCATTAGCGTCCAGTCCCAATTATAATCATCGTATTCACAGAAAATCTATACCAGACAACAAAGTAYTTTACATGAATATTTACTGAAGACTGCGTCGCTTTTCGTTATTGACACAAGTGGGATGTAAATAATTATAGCGAAATTAACTGACAAAGAAGAAGAAAAGGAGTCTATTTTTTCTTCTTTGTTTTTTTTTGTTTGTTTACTATGCTTGTGCTCGTGTGCAAACACTAAAACAATGAAATACTACGGAAAATAACAATTCCTTTGTTTTGTATTGTTTTGTATTGTAGTATTTAGCACTATTTGGCTGATAGTTTTTCACTATTTTAGTGTTGGCATTCTTATTGGTCATATGTCCAACCTGTTTGCAGTCCTTGATCCTGTTCCAGGTTTTCCTGTCAAATGCCATGCCCATGTTATGACGGACAGATTTCCATGGAGTCAGTTCCACCTAGACACAAGGAAAGTATTATATGTTCGCTATTAGGAAAAAAGTGGTATCTGAAATGACAAAATTGACCTTTTTTCTCTTTTTCTTTTTTTGTTTTTCTTTCCTTTTTTATTCTTCCTTTCTTTCTTCCTCCCTTTCTGTTTTTAAGGCGAGAACCTTTATGAAATACACTTTCTCATTTATAGAGAGGATTTCGTATGAGTGGGAAACGGACGGTACTGTACTGTGTCCGTAATCGTACTGTAACCAAATTCTAGTACCCCATTGKTTCACAAAAATTCTGCAGGCCAGGTGCGGTAACTGTGCGGTAACCGTGCGGTAACGGTGTCACACTCATGCGAAATACGCTCTATGTTAATTCCCTATAACCTATACATATATATTGTCTGGATCGAACTGGTTGTAGATAAAGTTGTGCACTGCAAGACTTTGTATGGACTCYATTCGCGATATTCCATACTCAGGTTCAGTGACCAGAAACAAMGCATTGRACCGAGGCGTCAAGGWACASTGAACATAAAAGATCCGCGCTCAGTGTACMTTGACGCCTCRGTTCAATGYTTCGTATCACTGTGAAAAAACACGGTATTTTCGTRCTGTGACCGTACCGTGCMGTAGCGGTGATGTATTGTTAAATCTTTAATTTTATTTGGAATCCTAGAAGGCGAGGTTCCGTGACCGTGCCGTGTTGTGATCCGTGACGTTAGACCCCCCCTAAACAGTCATACGAAATCCGCTCTATTTGTCTGTCTTACAGTACGTCAAAATCAGCCAATCCCATTGATTGTATGACTTACTGTATTTTCTCCTGATACTTTGTAGTTTGGTGGTACATTATATGTACCTAGAGTCATAATATCACAGCCATCAACACAACTGCTATCCCTGTAAACAAATACACACATATTACTATCAAATATACAAATATTTTTTTTCCAAGGTGATAATATGAGAATCTTTGTTTCGTTGTTTCGTGTTAAAATTGTTTTGTTTTTGTTGCACTAAATGTAATGTAGTATTATTTATATTTATTGAAATAAAAATCTTAAAAAAATACAAATATGACAAATACATGTCACATAACCACCAATACAACTGCTATCCCTGTAAACAAATACATTTAACACTACTAAACATACAGATACCACAACTATTAACACAATGACTATCCCTATAAACAAATCAGTGCAAATATTACTATCAAACATACAAATATCACAAATACATCAAATAAAATTGTACTTAAAGACTATTTTCAAAATTTTGCGATTTTAAAAAAAATTGTCAACTGTTTTTGTCCAAGATTGTAGCACACATTATACAGTACAATATTACATTTTGAATGATATACTAAGATTGTCTATCTGCTATATGTACATACGTTTTCTTTGTATCGTACATTAGTCTCAATACATGGTAGAAATCAGGTGAAACATAATGATCCTCTTCTAGGAATAACACTGGACCATGGTAATCATTTGTAATATTAAGACCATCAAACACAGTGTTGGCCTAAAATAATAATAAAAAAAGTTATTAAATACTGATAAAAGAGATACAGAGAGAGAGGAGTCAAGAGAAGGGAAAATAGGAGCAGAAAAAAGTGTTCATAAAGTAGAGAAAAATGTCATCTAATTAACAGTCTCTAAATGGAGACAAATCCCACTTCTGACACCACATACAACTGTACATGTAAGAAAATACAAAGCTGTGAAAATGGTGGTGACTATCATTTATTGGTGAGCCACTGACCTAACTACATGTACTTGTGGGAAGAACTCATAACATACATGCATTGCAATTCATAGATTTATATACATTGTAAGGGAAGAGAACAGAAAAAAAAAACATTGAAGGGAAAAGTGATGGGATGGATTGGATACATAGAAAAGAAGGAATGCGACACTAGAATAGAAGAAATTAGAGAGGAAAAAAAACACGAGTTCATATTAATTTTCTTTTATTTCTTTGAAATAAATTCAATGAAATATAGCACAGGGAATCTGGTAACAGAAAATTAGTGAATAAATTACTATATAAAACAATTGGAATAAATTAATAATTCCAAACACGAGTAATGCAGGCTCAAGTTTACAGGAAAGTGAGTAACTAACTTAGTGAGTGACAGAATCATCCCCCTCCAACAACTCTTCAATTGTTTCGCAATCTTTGAGTTAAAAACAGGCACTCACCTTCCACCACCAATGGTGTTTGGTCATAGTGAACTTGGCTTCTCTAAAATGACCATATTTATCAGGATGCTCTGCATTAATACACCCAATCTCTATGGCCCTGGACAGTRATAAAGAAACCATGTTACATTCATATTACTAGCACATTACTTCCTCTTAGATGTTATACTTGATATAATTGTATAAAAATCTACTAGTTAGAAAAACAAAGTAACATCTATTGAGCAGCTATTATTATTAACGCTACATTTTAACTTCAAAAYTCCAGRACTTTTCAAGTMCTTTTAAGCAMAWAWACTAAATCGTGAGTCAACTACAAAAAGCTTATTCTACTTCAATTTGTATACTTTACCGCAAGTCAAAATCTTACTCTTTAATATCCCTTTATGCTCTTTAAATGTGGGATATTAAGYCAATATACAGTATTTTGATATAATGTCTAATCATTGAAAGATTTCTATCCAGATAATCCTTTTCAGTCTATGAGTAATATGGATGACAGCGTGACAATAGATTGTGTGACATCAGACTAAATGTAACACATTCCTGTATAGCTATCAACTTTTGTAACACAATTAAAAATAACATGTACGCTGTCTTACCTCTGYTTGGAGATATCTCTTGGGCAATCAGCAGGGTCTGTTCCTGGAAATTTGTTTGGATATAATTGCATGGAATATGGAAAGAAAATTTGAATAACCTGGAAACAATAAGAATCAGGAATCAGGAATAGCTACAATATTGAAATAACATGTATACAAAATTTGTATAAAAATGACAATTCTCTGCCAACACTTTTAAATTCATAACCAATCTTTATGGAAAAAGCTCTATTCCTACAAGCGGGCCAATAACTAAGAAGAMATTGAAACATCTCTAGCTTTTGCAAAACCTAGGTCATTATATTACATGATAAATGGAGTAAAATATTGAAAAAAATGCTGATTTACCAATCTAATCTCTTTTAACAGCCACGACTTCCGGTCTCGTCATATTTCATCCCCGAAAGTAATGGCTGTTCACTCAGGCGCAACATTCCTTTCCAATTGTTTAACAACAACCAATCAAAAGAAGAGAGAGAGGAATAAAGGCAATCAAAACGTTTTGAAATGAACCTGATAAATTTCCCGCACGAATTCATTCCAGCACCCTGTTTGTAGTAAGTGATGTTGAGTTTGCCAAAGAAGTTTATCAGAGATAATAGTAAGTGTTTTCTCTGTTTCAAGCAAGTTTTTAAAACGAAGTAAGCAAACAGCGGCGAAACTTTCCGACGAACCCAACTAGTGATCAAAAATACATGCCAATGTTTGAAAAATWTGTTTAACTCTCTAATTTTAAATTTCGCATCTACAATAACAACTATATTGTTTTATTATGGTGAGAACGCCTCTTAGTTTTCAGGAGCTAAGCCGTGATTGGTAAATCAAAGGGAAAGGAATGTTGAGCCTGGGTAAACAGGGGAGGAAATTGACGAGACCGGAAGTTGCATCTGTTAAAGAGACTATTACCTCATATCTCATCCATGAAATTCTATAACTTAAACTTTTTAATTTAATTGATTCTTTCACAAGAGATATATTTAAAATATTAGGGCAAAGATGTTTTCTATTAAATATTGCAAAAAACTCAAGTATTTTTGTTTTATAAATAGAACTTTTCCAAGATGAATAATTTATAATTTCAATACATTTTTGCTTTATTAATGAGTTCACACTTTTGAAGACATCAAAGCTTTCAAAATTGCTTACTGCAAAGTAAATCAAGTCTTTCATCATAATTTAATAAACATAAAATATCAAAGAAAAATGAACATCTTGAGTCAATCATTAAAATAATAATATTTTATACTATTTTTTTCATCATTTGATGAAGATAACTTGATATACAGCCCTTTGCAAAAATTATGAGAATTGTCTAAATATCTAAATATCATAATATCCGTATCCATATATTGTCCGGAACACGCGTGTTTGCTAGAATAATTCATTGTTGACATCAAGAAAATGTTCAGAACTACGGATAAGTCTGTCGCCAAAAAAAAAAAAACTAAACTGCAAAGACAAGGGACTAAGGGCATCGCGCGGGATTACCCATCATGCACTCGATATTATGATATTTAGATATTTCAACAATTGTCATAATTTTTGCAAAAGGCTGTAACAATCATCAATACATAATATATTCTGTAATTTCTTTCACAGTAATGTGACTTGAATTTTATCAACATTTCTTTTCATGCTTTTATCTTTTTCATGTAATATTTTGTTGCAATTTATAATCTTCATTGTTCTCTTCTTGTTGTTATGAATTTTTTATAACTAAAAAACYTTGTTTGTAATTTAAGCCAAAGAGATAACAATATAGAGCACATATTCAATTTCAACTTCAATCATGTTTGGCATTTTTATCATTTCCTAATTTTTTAACCTGAATRCGGGGCCATGTATTGAATGAATTAAAAGGTTGGAACCCTTCACAAGTTCATAACAAAGCAATGACAAATATGAAAAGCTGATTAAAAATTACAGCCAAACTTGCGATATTGTCCTAGTCATCTAGTCTTTGTTAAAACCAAGAAAGCGTCACAAGCCAAAGACATAATGCAAAGGATTACTACTTATAATATATCAAGGCTCAATGAGTGACATAAATATAAGCAGAAGTCCCTTTGGACTATTATATGTAAATGCCTCTTTCTTCAGCTCACACAAGCATTAGCATAATACAACTAAGAAGACCTGACGACTCTTTCTTTACTTCACATGAATGACATAAGAAAGCAATWATCATAAACATAAGCATAAGGATTAATGACTTTTTGAGATATGCCATAAGGTCTGTGTAAATAAGGCTAATTTAAACAAAAATGTGATATAATCCTCTACAGCACAATCCAGTCTTCTATTTACAAGCAAGATTGATATATGTATAGATGGATGTGCATGTACATTGAGATCAATACAAATTAATTAATAATGCTATAGTCCTATTATTGGCCTGGATAGAACTCAAACTTTAAAAGACCACAACACCTCCTGATTATAAGTCAGCACAAAATGTATGCTCGACTTCCAGCTACAATAATTTTAACCTGCAAACTAGTTGCTATGTACAACATTGTGCCCATATACATTTTTTATGAATTTTATTTGTAAACAGATAATTATAACATCTGTCACTATGGGCAAAAAGTAAAAACTTTGAATTTGAAATTAAGCATTTCGAATTTGAAATGCGAGTAAAAATAGTCATTGAAAAACTAAAAAAAAATTAATTCAAATGTCTTAAAAGATAAAACATGGCATTGTAAAAAAGAAAAAAGGTGAATAACTTAAATTTCTAATTCTGTCTATAAATTCATATAAGCTTAGTACATGATTCGTAGTTCAAGTTAATTAATTTAACTAGAAAAAAAATGTAATTAGCATATTTCAATATCAAAGATATAAAATTTCTGTCTTACCTTACAGAATTGAATAGAATCCACTAACYGGTTGATATGTTCGTCATAGAAGTCATGGCTGATAACTAACAGAGATTCTTCGATTCCTCTCGCTTTACTCAAAGATCTCAACAGATGAGCAAAATAATCAGCTCTACTGTGAACTTGTATTATAATAACCATAGAATTAACCGATAAAGGATTGGGATATCTTTCTATATTTCTGATTCGCTGTTGATGGTTTAATTGACGAACGAATTCGCGAATTTCACCAACATTATTGACTGTACTTTCTGTAGCTTGTAAAACTGGGGTAGGAGCGATGTAAGCCGACTTAGTTCGAATAAATTCTTTAGTTCTTTCTGTTAAAACTTTTGCACTCCGTAGCACTGGTGTAWATATGACAAAATTCGATTCTACTTGATGTTTTTGATGTGGAAATATAGTCCTGCTGGTATCAAGTTGTTTATCATTTGTCACAGGCATTGCTAAAAACAATCCTTGGAGACGCATAAGCATTACCATGCTCACTGTTATTACTCCCAAAAACAGTAATTTAAATGCGGAGGTTCTTATAATAGTCCCTCTATATCGTATTGACAGCATTTCAAGTCTTGTCCAAAGAGTTTGCCACTGTTAAAATAGCGTAGTTAAGTTTATAGAGGAGATTTGTCAATCCATCGAAACGATGATCCAAAACTTGAAATTGTGTAGGTTTGAAGTTCTTGTTGAAAATTGCATCCACTGTTGCCCTTTTTTAAGTTAAAATATTTGTCCATTGACCTTTCCACGTCACCTAAGGCTGTAAGAATAAAAAATGAGAATACAGGGACCATTTTCAACCCGCCATGTTCACTTCCCGCTTTTCCACAAGCAAATCTACCAGTAACGCGTGACATCATATGGAAAGGCGTGACAAAAGTCCCGTATTGAGCACAGGGAACCCAAATGTATGTCACTCATACAAGATGGATAAAAACCTAAAAATCAATCGTCTTTGAAATCCCCTACGTGAAAGAGGTCCTATTTTCGCTGTAATTGTTGTATTGTACACCTAGTTAAAAAAGCTATATAGCATGAAAGTTAAAAAAGTATCATTTCTTTAGCGTGACAAAGATTACAGGGTTGCCACGGACAACAAACACGATCAGTTCACAAAATTTCAATTGTAAAGAATATTAAAAGAAAAGCAAGGAATTTGAATTTTTACAACCAATCCTTGGCACACATATAGTCTTCAATTGAAAAAAAAAACCGCCTCTTCATCTTTATATATAAATTTTATATAGGATTTTTATTGTACCAATACGACAGATAGAGATCGTGGCGATCGTGGGTACGTTGCAGTTGATGACGTGTAGAGACGATTTCTGACATGGCCTGTCAAATGGCGAGCCTCTCTTAATTCACGCTTGCGGTGCCAAATACTAAATTGGTTTTTAAGCTTTGTTTCAAAATTTCAAACAAAGATAAAAACATTTCAAAAGGAATGGTGAAGCGCCGTCATGCACGAGAAATTAAATATACAAACGCTTTAATACAAAAATCATAGTCTCCTAGCTTCATACATTTCGGAATATCTTCGAACAAATGACTTTTTTATCATTAAAAACTATAAATGCATAAATGAAACTGAAAAAGTCTCATTATTGACATATTACAATTCATATGTACATTTATATAGGCGAATAATTTGTTTTCATTTCGGTTCATTAATATATCATTAGCATAAGGATATAACGTTTTAACCTAATCAGTAAATCAGCACTGAATATTGAAACAGCATAGCACAATAAGCTTCCCACGCAAATTTTGAGCTTCCCATATGAAATACTTTTTGCTTAAAACGGTTTTAAAAACTCCAATTTTTAGAGAGATTATATGAGCTAATTAGCGCTTTTTTGAACGCTAATATCTGATCATAAACTATTCCATGTAATGACCTCAAACTTTCGTAGTTTATAGTTCTTAATAAGCCCTTTTACATTGTAAACTTATTTTACAGTTTTCTTTAATTTAAACTTTATGCTAATTAGCAAAATTTTGTAAACAAAGATAGATCCGTCTATACAGATTGCTGATGCTTTCTCATACCCAGGCCCTTCTAATATGCAATGGAGCCGCTATGCCATCATTTTGCTACGCAACTATTAGAATACTCTGTCTATTTTCGTTCAGATTTTTAGTCCCTTTGGATATCAGTAAAACTGATAATAAGGACTATAAATTACATCTGGTCCCACACAAAGCTTTCTGTGGTTGTGGGATGTGACGTCATAGTGAAAGTAGACTATATTTTAAGTGTTACTTTTGCACAACCCCACAGGAACAATGACGTGCTGAAAAGCTTGACTTATCAGAAGGTTAAACCAATCCAATAAACTCACATTACTCTACAATTGGGCCTGTCATTTTGCCCTGGAAGAATGATGATGAGGATCTGGGTACAAGAACAGCATAGAGTACAGTATGGTTATATTCTACTTCTTATCAATGTCTAACGATGACTCGTTCGAAGAATAAGGGACTGCGCAATATTTATCAGGAGGGGGGTTGAGAATCAAGGGGGGTGCAACATCTAATTTTATGTGGTTAAAGAAAGGGGGCTACGTCTAAAACTAACTAGACCTTTAGAAAAGCGTGCCACGGATAACTCTTATTCACAGATAATGAATAAATTAACGAGGGGGAGGGGGGTCAGAGAGTAAGTTATTTTGTTTGCAGGGGGGGGGAGGGAGTGTAGTAATTGAAAACTTCTTTGATTTTTTGGCTCATTTCTCAATCCACCCTTCCTGATAAATATTGCGCTGTTCCTAATGAAGTTCTGAGTACAAGAGCAAATTATGGCTATGTTCTATTTCCTAGTAATGACTAACGCTTTACTATTTCCAGGTGTTTTTCTAGCTGTACACGCATGGTGATATAGTCTGGTCTTGCTTGTTAACAGTAGACAGAGTATTTCACATCGMTGTATTCCTGTCGAGGCAGAAAACGGTAGCATTAAATCCTGTACTGGGACCAAGTAAAAACCTTTCTTCTTTTGTGGCATGTCCAGATCACTAATGATTAACAAAGTGTAAAGTGTGATTTTGAGTTGTATGTGATTGTCCTCTTATTGCCATACTCTTGATGGCGTCATGAAATGAACATAGAGTGTGTCACGATATAGAAATGAAAGAAAGTTATATAGTGCTTAGAAGGAGGCAATTCCGGGAGAAGGACCCTTTAGGAATAAGGGACCAGATTTCTTAAGCAGAAAATTAGTTAGAACCCCCCCCCCCCCAAAAAAAAAAAAAAAAAAACTATTAACGTTAGTTATAAAACAAGCACAAGCGAGTCGAGCCAACTGAAGCAACCCAAAATTCACTAAAGACGAACCCAGAGAGGTGGCTTACTCGTCTCGATCTAAGGGGTAAAGACAAAAACTTTCAGGAGGAGCTGACACGGCAAATGTGGTGACCAGTGTTTCTTTCAAATTGTTCCTGGCAAATGTTTTCAAGGTCAAATAAAGGCTTATGTAACGTTTTTATGGTCAAAAACGACTTTGATGTTACTTGTGCTTGTTGTGTCTAATAAATCATCAATATGTTTTTCAGCTTCTACATCTTCAATTTATGTGAAAACTACATCCTCAGTTTATGTGACAAAATTGAAAAAATCAATAGAAAAAAAAATCATATCTTGATCAATTTCAATCACACATCAACGAGCCTTTGAATTTAGATTTGCATTAGTCAGGCGCGTAGCGTGGACTTTTTATGCACATGTCAGGGACCGGGCGACATATATTTTGGATCTGGGGGTCTAACGAACGCCAAAGGCGGGAGTATTAGGGGAGTATGGTCCTTCCCCAGAAAAATTTGAAAAAAAAATCAAAATTTGAAAGAAATAACTCTTGGAAATGTGATTTCCAGCATTTTGAGAGACATCGAAAATTATGAAAATTTTGAATGAAACTTAAGGCCCCCCCTCTGTTAATTAGGTAATTTTACTTTGAGCCCCCCTATCTTGCCATCAATTTTATGTAATGACCCCCCTCTGGTTTTACGGCCCCCCTCCTGGTAATTTTTGCTCGGGAAAATTAATTTCCGACCTCGCTGGAATTCGAACCCACGACCTTCGGATTTGTACTACCGATGCTCTAGCATAGAGTGTGTCAATAAGAGGAAATACAACGGAAACCGCGTGGAATTTGCTTTTTTGACCACATTTAAGTTTAAAAATTAGCGAGAATAATTGTTTCTTTCAGCGCGGGCGAATTTACATAAATCAGAGAAAATGTAAATATTTGAGGTCATCCTCACACATTTTTCATTCCCTATGTGATTTTAGGAAGTGTGTTGTCCTAGTTTAGAACAGCGTGCGTTAAATAACTGTTTAAACATATACATTCATCAAACAATCGACCACGATTCTTCCATTCATACCATAAGAGGTGACATAACTGAGAAGATAGAGTGACCGCACTTAATCCGCGAAACGTTAACTATAATATTATTCATGTAATCATTTAGCGACTTCCACATGTATTCCCACACTATTCACCTATTAAAGTTTATCATAAACATAAAACTTACATGTACAATTCAAAGCATCCTCACTCGTCATGGCATACTTGATTTCTTTTCTGTTGTCCCATCGATGTGACACTACAGCCTTATACACCTCTATCAGTAGGTGTGGAAATTCCCTCAAAAACACAAAGTCATCAAGAATCAGTTTCCTAATGTCAGCTGGTCGGCTGGGCTCAGAGACGTGCTCGGTAGCATTCCTGATGAATCGAACTAACTCTACAACAGAGCCAGTATCGCAGGTCCTTGGTTTTTCGTAATAGGTTTTCCCATTTTTGTTTACTCTTTCGATTCGATTGTTCATCTCAGTAACAACCTGTGCCATGTCTTTGTATCTAGGATCATCCCATTTGCCAAATGGCACTATTTTGGCTAGGCTCCTTTTAAGATCAGCTTCTACCCCTGTCATGGGAAAATGAGAGGCTGCTTTGTTAGCAGTAGGACATTGAAATTCATATTGATTACCAACAGCTTTCAGGAACTCCATCCTCTTCTTTCTGGACCAGAAAAATGGGTGGTGTAATGAATCCACTGCGGAAGGTCGCTGGGAGTGATCTATATGCAGCATGCCTTTAATGAGATGCGTGGCTTCCAGGGAAAGTGCATTATTCCATCCTTCTAATTTGTATTTCAGCATGTTGTCTTGTGTTTCATGGTCAACAATTTCATTAACTTTGCTGGCACTATCAGCTGGACTGAATGGATGATTTTGATTAGACAGGATATAGTGAAGCAGTAGTCCACACGAAAATACGTCTGATGATTTTGAATGCTCGTATTTTCCCGAAGATATCACTTCTGGAGCAATCCAGCATCGCGTGCCGACATTGGTACCATAAACAGTGGTACCAATAGTTGCCACAGGGGTGCTCAGACCAAAATCTGCAATTTTGAGACAAAGACTTGGATGAATCTTGTAAAGAATATTCCCTGGTTTGATATCACGATGAATAATGCTTTTTGGCTTGTGTTGATGCAAATATGATAGTCCTTCAACAACATCTTTGCACATTATACTGGCCTGGCTTACATCAAAGGTGCAATTCTCAAAGTAGTGATCTAGATCCCCTTCCATTAGTTCTAAAACAATGTACACAAATTCCGTATCACTATCATCAAAGGAAATGTAGCTAACGACTTTTGGACAGTCTGCCAATGCTGTCAGATTTCTTATTTCTCTTTCATCCTCTGGTCGCATCATGCGCAATTTTTCTATTTTCTTTATTGCAATCTCTCTTCCGTCCTTTTCGTTGATTCCTGCGAATATATGACCAAACGATCCTCTTCCAATAGGGTCTTTATTAAACCAACAATTGCCAATTTTCTGAACGTTCTGTTTTCTTGAGACCCTTGCAAGTTTGGTTTTGTGTACTGTAGAATGAGATGTCCATGGAATGATCGGTGGCACATCATAAAAATCTATTTCTGTGGTCAAAAATTGCCGAAGCTCTAGGAAGTCTTGGCACAAATCGGTGCAAGTGTTACCATCAGCTCCATGCAAAAGTAGCTGTCTTGCAATGTCCACATGAACAGATGTAAGACCAACATCACTGTGCTGTTCTGGTAAAATACCTCGATTATTTTTTGGTTTCTTGACTGGAGGCTCTAGAGGTTTTCCAAATGCAAATTCCTGCCCTTGATCGCGCATTTTTTTGATGTTGATCACACAATATTGAAGTGCATCATGTAGATCGAAGGGACCATGCTTAGATGTCAAGATTTTTGTTACAAGAAGGCTTTTCCAGGTAGCACGGTTGGACTTGTCTTGGCAAATAGTCTCCAACAAGTGCTTTAAGACTAACGTGTTTGATTTACAGCAGGCAACTTCAATATAAGCATTCGCTAGCTCAAAGACCTCTGATTGCAGGATAATATCTAGGAGAGATTGACCATGGTTGTCAGAACTCCAGATGTCAAGATTCAATGACACACATGTTTCAAAGAAGATTTTAGGATCTTCTTTTAAATCTGGGAAGAAATTATGTCTACAGTTAATGTTGGTCTTGAGAACTTGCTGTTTTGCAATATTTAAGAGGGGAGTCCTTCCCTCCTTATCAAAGCAATTTGTATTTGCTCCCTCTTTTATTAAAAGATTAACAGCGATCCATGTCTTACAAAGATGAAGAGGAGTTTGATCGTCTTCATTCCTTGGGTTTGGTGTAGATCCAGGCTTTAACAAATGCTTCAATATGAAATAAAGAAGCTTTTGAAAAGTGAAGTCATTCGTTATGCGGACTGCAGCATAGCTTTGATTCATTGGCAGAGAAAGTGAAGCCCAGAGGTGAAGGGGAGAATTGAGCTTGCGATCCCTGATCATCAAAACATTTGAATGTTGGACAGTTGCTCTTGAAAGCATTTCAAGAAGATATACAGCATTCTGGCACACAATTTCTCGAATTTCCTCATCTTTTGTGGATAGTACATCACGGAAAAGGTTTGTCATCAAATGGTAAACAGATTCCCCATTTCTCGTAGTCTCCATAACAAGTGAGCCATCTTGTAAAAGAAATTTGCAAATCTCAACCATACCATCAAATGCATTCTTTATCTCAGTCTGTCCTTGCTCCCATCTCCTTTCTATTCCATTTGAAGGGCTAATTTCTCTGAATCCTCGCCATGCTTTTTCTGAAAGACAAAAATGTAGTGGTGTCTCCTTTTCCAGATTTCTGACATTGAATCGTACGCCATGATTTTCTAGAGTATGGAGGATTTTCATTAAGTATTCTTGAGAGCATCCATTGAATGAAAGTAGGGTAGCATAATGAAGGGCAGTGTTTCCATACGAATCAGCACTATTTGGATTCACACCAAGACCAAGCAAGACTTCCATAGCTTCCGATATCTTATTTTGGAGAAGTAGTGCCTTCAATGTTTCAAGTTGTTCAGGGTCAGAAGCATACTTGGTGGCAACTGCTATAGTATTTGCTATAATTTTCGTACCCTTTTGATTAATTGCTGCATTACGACCGTGAAGGTACTTAGGTAAAATACAATACAAAAAGTTCAAAGCTGAAAGGAAAACTGCGGCATTCTCTTTCCAAAATGTAAGTGTTGTTGATACATCATTGTCGTCTTGCAGAGATTCGTCGCAGCAATTTTTCTCAATAAAATAGGATAAAACACTAACACCGTTGCTATCGACAGTACGTAAATTAGCTCCTTGGTCAAGAAGCTGCATAATTACTATTTCTTTAAACCGTGGAACAGAATTACACGCCATAGCTGCATAAAATAGAGCTGTTCTGCCAAACATATCTCTTGCGTTTATTTCAAGTGAGCTAAAATTGATCAATGTCCTTAAATGATTAAACTGAGATCCCTTGGAGTAATAGGATCTTCCAAAAAGCAGTACTTCATCTCGAGTGTGCATATATTTAATGGCATGAATCAAGACAGTTTCCATCTGGTTATTTCGAAGAGTTAAGTCTCCACCATGGTCTAACAGCAATCGTACGGAGGAATCCGTAAATGCGAAAAAAAGTGGCGTTTCCCCGTTATTGTCTGCTACATTAACTTTTGCGCCAGTGTCAATAAGTACCTTTGCCAAAGCCGGTTTATCACATCCCTCGCATGTATTCATTGTCTTGATAGCATAGAATAACACGGTTTGACCTTCGTTATCCCTTTTATCAATGTTACTGCAATCAGAAGCTACTTTAAGAGTAAGCATATGAGCAAGGTGAGAAGACTGATCACCAACTCCCTGTCTGTGGTCAAAAGGCATAACCAAATAAAACAAGGCCGTTCGTCCATGCTCATCTGCAATATTGATGTCAGCACCATTTTCAATCAACAATAATGAAACGTCGAAGATTTTTGCAGCTGCGAGGATAAAAGGAGTCCGCCCATAATTATCCGATGCATTTACATCAGCACCTTTCTCAATTAATAGTCTTGCAACGTCTTTGCTGTTAGTTGCAGCTGCAAAGTGCAAAGCAGTTTGGCCATATTCATCAGACAAATTGACGTTAGCACCAATTTCAATCAATAGTCGAGCAGCCTCTTCGTTATTTCTTTCGGCTTCGGATAATAAGAGTGTTTTCTCAAATTTATCAAATGCATTGACATCAGCACCCTTCGAAATCAAAAGGCTTGAAGTTAGTTTATCTTTATAAAATGAGGCTGCGTAGTACAAAGGTGTTTTTCCATCATATTCAACCAATGCATTGACATCAGCACCGTTCTCAATCAGAAGATGTGCAACTTGTTTGTAGTTTGACTTTGTTGCAATACCTAATGGACTTCTTCCGGTCAAATCCAAAACATTGACGTCAGCACCGCTCTCAATTAACAGTCGTGCAAGTTCAACGTTATTACCTTTAGTTGCCGATAATAATGGTGTTGTGCACATATATTTATCAGATTGATTGACATAGGCACGTTTTTCAATTAGTTCCCGTCGTACAAGTTCAACGTTATTACCTTGAGTTGCCGATAATAATGGTGTTGTGTACATATATTTATCAGATTGATTGACATAGGCAAAGCATAAAGGCATTCTTTCGTCTTCATGATATACATTCACATAATCACCTTTTTCAATCAAGAATTCTGCTATCTCAGTGCGGTTACTTCTAGCTGCAACTGCTAATGGAGTGTAGTTATTGCTAGCTGCAGCCACTAATGGAGAATTCCCATCTTCATCAAATACATTGATGTCAGCACCGCTCTCAATTAACAGTCCTGTGACCTCATCGTCATTATGCAATAATGCATATTTATTAGATATATTGACATCAGCACCTTTTTCAATTAGTCGCCGTACAAGTTCGACATTACCATGATCAGCAGCATAGCATAAAGGCGTTTTTTCGTCTTCATCAAATACATTCACATCAGCACCTTTTTCAATCAAGAGTTCTGCYATCTCAGTGCGGTTACTTCTAGCTGCAACTGCTAATGGAGAATTCCCATGTTCATCAAATACATTCACATCAGCACCTTTTTCAATCAAGAGTTCTGCTATCTCAGTGCGGTTACTTCTAGCTGCAACTGCTAATGGAGAATTCCCATGTTCATCAAATACATTGATGTCAGCGCCTTTGTCAATCAATAATCGTGCAACATTTTTGTTGTCTTTTACAACAGTACGTGCGATACGTGCGACAGCAAATATAGGAGTTCCTCCATTTTCATCATTACATAAATTTACATTGGCACCAGATTCAATCAGCAGTCCTAAAACCTCTTCGTCATTATTGCAAGCTGCAATATATAAAGGTGTTATGCCATAATACGCATTACGGATACCGTTTTCTCTTAAAAAATATTGGTAACTGTCTAAACAAGCTCTTTGATTAACATCAGCACCCACATCTATTAACATTTTAACGATTTCCTTATTACAAACGGATACAGCGCTCGCCAAAACCGTTTTCCCTGTACCATTTGGGATATTAACGTCTTCACATTGAGCAATTAGGTCACGTGCCAGTTCGTTGTTGCCTTCGTGTATAGCTTTTATCAAACTTGTATTCGGTTCAACGTCTGCCATTGTTTAATGCCTTGAAATTCACTTTCCGGTACATGAGCGCTCATCCAGTAAATATCCAGATAGGTTTTTTGATATTGTCAAGGCCCTATGGACATAACTATCATGAGGTTAATCTCTCATAAAAAGAAAACCATTTCCATTCATAAAATTACCGTCTGTCACTTCATTCAAGCGGCGTGGATCGCCACAACAAGAATGATATTTCTTTTCTTTTCTTTTATCAAATTATCTCATCACTGATACGACCGCTGGACAAGAGCGTTGCTTGGGGCTCTTGCTTGCTCACAAAAATTACCGTATTTACTCGAATAGACGCCTCCCCCGAATAGACGCCGCCCTCAAATAGACGCCGCACTTAAAGCTCAAAATATTAATAGACGCCGCCCCCGAATAGACGCCGCATGTGGGTGCGGCGTCAATTTGAGGAAATAATGATGMCAGCAATGGGAATTTATTTTCGTTTAGAACATCTTTTATTTCGAAGTGATTGTACTTTTTTGCTCTCAGCAGCTGATCGATTCCGACCACGAGGAGGMCATTGATRTTGAAATAGAAGTTTAACTCTGGTTAAAATCATAAATTGAATAAAAAAATTAACGCGACATTTATATATTGAGAATCGCTACTGTTTGTTAGCAAAAAGATACAATAAAAAGTACGGTATGTAGTACCGAATAAAATCTTTTTTAATAAACGCCGCCCCCGAATAGACGCCGACCTCGAATAAACGCCGCACCTGGATCGTGAAAAATGAAATAAACGCCGCGGCGTCTATTCGAGTAAATACGGTATAGCTCATATGTGACAACTACTGTATAGTGAAACCATCTATTACATGACGTTGATCAACTCTGCTAGACTTACATCTACACTTTTTAGTCACAAATAATACAACAACTAATTGCAAATATTTCTCTTCTTCTGTCTAATAATAATGTAATTATATTGATCAAATCAGTGTGAACAAAAAATGAATTAAATTGAAACTCACTCGTCGTGATAATTAAATAGATATGTTGCACGGCTTACGAACATTTTGCCATCACTCCCGGGTATCTCCTACTTGAAAAGTGCTGTTTTCGTATAATAAACGCCACACAAGACAGGGTAGCATTGTCCACCATGTTAGAACTTCCTTTGTGTAGTTGTAATCCAAATTTAAACCAAGGCAGCTAGCCGTTTCATGGCGGCATTTTCGGCAACCAGATGATCTACATTTTTGGAAGAAATAGCGTTTCGCAGTTATATACTTTCTTGATTCTGGTTAAACAAAATACTAGTCAATGACAATATAAACATCTATGAAGGAAAACCATTCGTGTCTGCATTAAAATCTGCTACGTTGCACATTCTTCAGTTAATACATGCAAACAAAAACTTATACTAAAAGGTTTCCTGCAGTGCGAATACTAGATTAGGATTGGCTTAACCATGAACTGTAAAGATCAACAACATAAATTAACTAAAAACTTAAATAAAACCAAGCATTTTTTGTATATTTTTCTCAATTTATATGCTATATATTATTAATACGTGCAACTCGTACAATGCATTGGACTGAATTTTTTATGACTATTCTTTGTTATTATACTATTAGGAATAGTTAAAATATTTTCAAGGTGACTCATGGTATGTTTTATATAGCTATCAATATCAATTAAGCAAATTTTCCACTGAAACAGCAGCTCATCAGACGCCTTTTAATGATCCAATTCCATCGTGCTATAATTATCACATTATTACATGTATTCAACTTGGGCTTGTAATAAGTTTATAAAACTAATCAATAATGCATGGACTATTACTCCAATAAGGACTGTCCTTGATTGACCTTGCAAATCTGGTACAACATAGTGAATTTACAACACGGTCGTCACCATTGAGACAACCCAACAGTAGCAAAGGTCTCAGTTTTAGTATCGCATCATAGTAGACCTTCACTAGGTCTTTAAGCAGTAGAATACAGATAACAGAACTCGGTTATGCAACAGATGTCTTGCTTTCCATGTGGGATGAATAATTATTCAAAATGTTCTGTGTTGCAGTAAATTGCGCAAGCTTAATAGCGACTAAACTCAGCAGTTACCTTATTTGTCATTTTTCGTCATTTATCTCACTGTAATACTCCAGTTTCGAATTCTCCAATGCTCTTGTGTTTTAGCCTCATTTGTGCGCAAAATACTCATTATTGTGAGCGTAAAAGTATGAGATTTCAAATCAAATTCATTGTCTTTCTTCACAAATTCCATGCGTTTTTTTCGAGCTATCAATGAAACAAAAGAATATGTTACTTGGTATTGAGGCTAACACAGAGCAAACCAGAACTTGAAATTGGAGTATTCACGTTAGTGTTGTTGCGGCTTGAGATTGTAATTCCCATACAACACGGCCGCTCATGTTGTAAACTACTTGTATAAACCTAAAAATGCATAGACTGTAGGGATTTTACAATGCTATCAGATTAAAAATATTATATCTTCAAACGTGAAAAACAATTAAAAACATAACACAATACATTTGAATTTTCAAGGAAATAAATTTCTYGGAACTATTCTACAWGGTGATGTGTSCTTTTTGCCTMCTRTACACCCCATAATTTCCACAAAATTCAAGATGGCTGCCGTATAAGCAAAAGTATACTGTYCTTGGTTGATTATTTTAAAACAGCGCAACGACGTCTTATATCGAAGCTGAATACTGGATTATATTTCACAGACTCCGATCGAAATATATGAGAAAACTAGTGGTGGAATTTCCGTTTAGTGCTTCAACTTTTTAACGCACTAGGGTCCCCTAATTAAGTTCCAAACGACAAAAAAACACACAAAAAAAAAGAAAAAGAAAAAGAAAAAGAAAGGGGAAAAGAACCATCTCTACCCACAACCATGAGCGCCTATATGCCTTGTGGGAATATGATGCCTTGCTGGCTTTTCTCCTTGTTCTTCAAACCGACAGGAAGGCGAGTTCTATGGAGAACCACATTTTTGCTATTCACCATCCTTGTCCAGATATCCAGATATGATTATCACAACAGACGCTTCAAAGAAAGGCTGGGGAGAAGTACAGGTCTTTGTCCAAGTACTTGAGCTTCGCTCTGCAAGACTTCCCGAAAAAGAARTCTCATCACTCCGAATAGACAACAYGGCTGCTATAGTGCCAAACGAAAGACATTCYTGTGACGGCCTCSCAGTGAAAGGCGAATATCTCAGCACATGAGAATTCCTTTCTTCACCWGAAGGAACTACTAGTATCAATGCACAGCYGTATTTTGGGATGACTGGACAACTATAATGGACACTAGGCATTAAAATTCTAATTCAGTATAGTCTTTATGATACTATTAGTTGAACATCAATATATTTTACACATTTTTTATTAAAGATGTTGTTTTATAAACAAGAAAAGTTTTTGAGAATTTACTATCAATCTTCGGATAGTGTCTTTTGACCATATTAATTATAGTCACGCAACAACAAACTTTGTGTCACACAATAAGGCGACTGTATATAAATATAATAAGCATCCAAATATCAATACATCCCTAGACAAATATTTCCATAGACTTATAACACGTCCGTGACATTCKTAAAACTTCTTGGTATTCGTTAATTCTTTGATTCGAATATTCAGCAAAACTTGCTCCTGCTTCGATTAATAAAATGGCACATTTCCATCTTCCCCTGCGTATAGCATTATGTAATGGCCCCCARCCGTTCRCATCCTTGATGTTKGGATTAGCACCATGGTCTAATAGCAATTGTACACACTTTAAATCAGCATTCGCAGCTGCTATGTGGATAAGAGATTGTCCGCTGGGTGTTTTAGTATTGATATCGATATCATCATCTGATTCTAAGATCTTCTTCGCCTCATGAAATGACTTTTCTGTTACAGCGCTAATTAACAGAGTACAAGGGCTGAAAGAAATCCTTTTTGGTGATTTTGGTTGCTTAGTTTCACGAGTTAAACTTTTTTCTTTCCAGCTGTGAGTTTCAAGTGGAAAGTTTAGCTGTCTGGGAGCGAAGGTTATCCGTTTTGCCTCCCTCTGACGCAACCAAAGTATAATTTTCATCAGCATGACAACAGTTTTCGTGACTTCGACATCAATATCAATGCAAAATCCACTCGCTGTAAACATTGTAATAGTTTCACATCCAGCTTCTGTCCTGTTCGTCTGCATTATTTGCTGATAGACGAATAAATCATTAGAATCGCTGGAAGCTGTTGTGTTAAACGAAACAGCATCGGAATCACGAGATAGATCCGATGATAGCGAATACGCCGAGTCCGAAAGAGAATCTGTCGTGTCAAGCTCTATAGATGATCTTGGACTTAAGGCTAAGATTTTTAAACCATCCTTTTKAATGTCCCTAGCAWTATCACGGTGAAGTTGGTCTTTATCAATGCCATTTGAAGTCGCTAGAAGATATTYCATATCATTTAGTGACTGYGAAGGGATATTTTTCACGACACTTGAAAACTTATTTTCAGAGGAAGCAAACCTTAGAGCGCCAAGCATTTTGATGACTGAAATGTTTCCATTTTCTTGCGTTTTTMTCTCCAAGTTGCCCTTTTTCTTGTTCTCTGAATGTTCAACACCTTCAGAAGGGAAATAAAAGCAGTCAAGTTGAGGTCGAACATTTAAACGTCGATCTTTTGACATGTTGAAAAAGCCACCATCAAAYCCTGCAATTCATTTCAAGCTTTTACTTTTACCAAAGAGGTGAGAGAATGATCGACAAATGTGCTGTAACAAGACCACAATCAATCATGGTTTATAGACAACTTATCGCCAAGATGTTTGAAATGTTTTTTCCTGACCTCATGGTTAAGCATGTTATTGAAAGATGGACATTAAATACACGTTTTCACGCGAAACGGGCCAATGACGCTCGCTTTGGAATTAATATGTAAATTATTACTTTTAAACAATTGATTTGAGTTGTATGAAAATAGTTTTTGTTTAATAAATCTCTGAGAYAATAAAGGAAGCTAATATATTTTTAATGGTTGTATTTTTGTGTGAATGATTATATCTCAATGATGTGCGTAGTTTCTTTTGACACGCGCTGAGACAATCGGAGGTCAAATAACAACCTTTTAAAGAATTCCGACATTTTTAATGGTCGCCACAAACTACAAATAGYTGTGCAAAAAGATTTTGCACCGTGAAAAGGTAGGTGAAACAACTTACTGACGTTCCAGACGGTTTAAAATCCTTCGTCGGATTAAAGATCGAGATGGAACTAGGTAAAATGTGAGTTTATATAATAAGAGCAGCAAAGAAAGTAGACCAATAAGGGCAAGGTAGGCATAGTAACCAGAAATAAACAATTAAGTAAGAGATAAATCAGAGAAAAGAACAAGAAAGGTGCTAAAAAAGAGAATTAAAATTATCTCC